AAGATTCAAGCCTTCTTACAAGCATCTCCTTACAATTTAATGCGTGATCTTTTTTCCAACATTTTGTTCCTCTTTGAAGGAGTGTATTTTATGTTGTAACATCAATAAGAGGCGAAATGGGTTATCAGAGGAACCGACGTGCTTTCATATGAAACGTGGTCAGAAAAGTTCGACCATCATTACCGTAAACGATGCAGAGTGTGAAGTTATTACTCATTCGCGCTGGTATAAATTGATTCCCCTTAATTAGTAGTATAGTACTCCGCGTATGGCCGTAGGTGCTCCTTGACGGTTACATTCACGAGATGTTAATGGATCGTGCGAATTAATGGGACGCGACTGGCAGGGGTGCGTTAACACACGGTTCTCGGGCGATTCGGGAAATTAGTAAACTTGCTTTGTAGTTAGCTAAGTCGAAGGGGTTTCGGGTGGGTGGCTGAAGGGCGGAGAATCTATAGTTCAATACAGGTCCTCGAGCACGGCTCGGGGACGAAAACTTTTTGCCATTTTTCTTTGCTCGGCACTCGTTAAGACAATTTATAATTCTATTCTGTAACGCCGTAGCGATGGGCGGTAAGGGGGTGGACGGCGGTGCAGACAGAGTCAGACGTAGTCCGACTTTACTCCCTTTACGACGCTTGGCACCCTCTCTGTCACGGCGTACTGCGCCAACTTTTTTCATATTCCAATTAGAATATTTTTCATTGATTTAAAGCCTCGCGAGAGCAAATATTAACGGCTTAACACCACGATAAATTTACACTGCCAATGCCTCCGGGATTCCGTTTCGTCCCTGCAGTTACCCTCCCCACTCCTGATCGAGGGTGGAGCGAACGACGACCGGCATAAGGACTCCGCTACCTACGAATGCTAACTTTATGACTCACGAAAACTCTCGTAACATTAATCACCGTGCGTATATTTGAAATCGATATCAGTTACGAAAACGTTCACCACTCCTCCCACCCCCAACCACGTTCGGTGTTTTTGCACGCCCTATTAGGTTCCAGTTACTTTGCTACACTTCCCTACGAAAGATTATTTCTAGTCTATTAGGCTGCTGCTAATGAGTTAATTCTCCTCTGGTTTATCTGTCGATGGATTCCCTTTACGGGGAACATTTTACGCGTGGCAGTAAAGTTCGTGATTTTTATTCCGAATCGAAGTTGCGCGATAGGAACCTTCGCATCAATTATTTTATTACTCCAATCGGTTATTGTCTTTGGTGTTCTTTGTTTTATTAAGTATGTATAGGATACTTGTAGTGGTTAATAGACCATAGACCAAAAGAATCCATTATAGTTTAGGAATAAATATTTTATTACACCTTGCTCCGACGATTACAGTTAAACCGAGATGTTTTGCTTTATTGTTTTTGCCAGGATAAAATTGCATTAACTTAAATATGCGTGTCTCGTGTAATGACTTTTTTTTGTTTTGTTAACATTAGCAGGTACAATGTAGGATTTTATTGGCGGGCTGTGCGTTAAAAATTACGTCATTCAAGTGTCTTCCTTTATGATTGATGCGTTCTCTGCAACGCACCGGTACATCGTTCATTACGACCCCTTGCATGCGGTTATCAATAGTCCTGATGGCCTTGGTGATTTTCGTCTTCAATTTATCTACCTACACACGGGCGACTCGTTCGCACAGAGAATTAACAGAAAAAGTGTACACTGTCTGTCGACGTGGTAGAACATTAATCTGAAAGTGTATATCCATTATGACTTGTTATGCCTTGCATTCCCATATTATTAAACTAGCCTTAGACTTATTTATCCACATAAAAGGTACATTAACTTCTGGCAAACGAAAATTTAATATTTTACTCTAAGCGGCTCGGCTCAATATAAATAAATCTTTTGGGAATTGGTTTTCTGTAGTGGATACATCTGCGTTTCAGAGTTCTTACTTTGGAAATAATTTCAGCGTTCAGTAGTAATGAGAATGCCCATCGAGGTATAAAGCGCGGTGTAATTGTAGGATGATCGAGATGGAAATGGATTCTGTATTAAAAAACAAGTCGAAATTGTGGAACACATTTTTTTCGTACGATGCTTCCTTTTCTAGTAAATGAACTTTGACCATTTGCTGGGTGCACGTGCGCCAAACAGTTTTCATAGTTACTTTTCTCGGAAACGAAGACTCGAATCGCAAAATTTTATTCCACACATTGAACTTATTTTTGGCAGAGGAATCTTCTTCCAACCTTCATATACACATATCATAAATTACGTCATGGATCTTGTGATTTGTTGACTTTATTTCCGAGCTATTTTTCCGTTAAAGTATTCGTTTTGATCATTTTAAAAGGTCCAACTACTCGGAGCTTTATTTTATCATTTGTTTCAACATCAATAATTTTGGAACAATTGTTCTACACAATGTACTTGACGTAAAATACTGTTTTTAGAATTCATAATAGATACAGCTTTTGGAAATTGATTTAAAATGAAGTATTGTGCCTGCCTCTTCTTTTGCATGATGCTTTTACTTGCAAGGGATCGTCATATTTAGTTGGAGTGAAGTGTAAGAAATAAATACACAGTGGTTTTATAATTACCATAATACGTATTCCATTTATTAAATTGGAGATATAATACACAAGCGATAGATAACACGTATGTATAATTTATACAATATTTTATACAGATTGTCTCTACCTTTCGCTTAGCGACTTATCTAAATACTGTACAGTAATGTTTCGAATATTCGAGTAATTTGGTACGCTATATACCTGGCTTTCGTGAATATTCCTCCGGTTATTCGTCATCGAATGCGCGAGCCAATCACTCCGTCGCTCATGCAGAAACATTGTTACAAGATTTTTCTGAATCCACTCGTGTATCGTTAGCCTACGAGTCTTTAGGCGCACGCTTCGTGTGATTATACATATTTATATGCGTATATCTACGTTCCTATTCTTTTGCGTTCTTCAGTTTTAGTTTAATTGGGAGTATCTACTTGTGGGATGACTCTAAAATAGGCGATCAAATTTTGACGGAGTTGCCCAATCGATTTCAAGAACCAGAGAAAGCCATGGTCACAAAAGAACATTTTTATAAGTTCTAATAAGAGCAAATACATCGTCTATTGTCGTTATTTCAACTTGCATAGATTCAGAGTCACTCCAATTCCCAATGGAGCCAAACGTTGTTGCATAAAGATCAAGTGGTCGTTCAAGGTCACTCGGGCGCTATCCCCACCACACTGTTGGGCTCCTCCCACTTTTCCCACGTACATCTGCGCGCGCACGGTGTTGCTAACGTCATTCGCAGTTAGATAACCTTGAACGACCAGTTGATTCTGCTTTAGAAATTTTTCTCCGGCAATATTTTTGAAAATGGAAGTCGAAGAAATATTCGTCTCTCGAGAACTTAAATTTGTATTATATTTGTACAGCCTTATCGCTATTAAATATTATTTGTAAATAAGAAATTGTTTTCGTAACGAGTTGGAACGCTCCGCCAGACTTTGGCGATTTACTTTAGAGCCATCCGGTATACCTATGTCAGATTCTTATTAAATATGTTAAATATCACATTCACGTTTATCGTATCTACAGAATATACAAAATCCACTTCGTTCCGCTTATCCATTGGCTTAAATTTCACTGGGACGTAAATAGACAACTTGTAGGAGGAATCATTGCGTATTTTTTTGCTCTTTCGTGTTTATTTATTCGAATATTTATATCCATAGTTGCTCGCCTGATATTCAGCATACATTTACTATACACGTGCTGTTAACCGAATAATGATATTACCGGTGTCTCTTTTCTTATTAATAATTTATTACTTGCAGGACTCGGTGTTGACGCGACGGCGAAATTTTCCTCGAATTTTTATAAATTTTAAGGCAAGACGCGTCTTTTGTGATTTACGAGTATGTTCGTCTCATAATTGTTTCATAATTCTCGTATCGATAAAGTGTAACGAATTATCATAATTTAAGCAACACGATACAGTTTCTGTTATTCTTTAAATTATTTACAAATAATTAGTCGACGTTCAACGCACAGATGACTAGAATAGAACATGTTTTTTTAATTTGACATTAATTTATGATTGTGCATTACGATAAAGAAACTGCTTTCTTGCCTTAAAACTACTAGAATCGTTTGCAATTCACTTTCTATCGAACTTCCTTTGTGCTGTGGACATCCTGCAAATAATCTCATTGTATATTACTGTCTCTGAGTTTCGTATCATAATGCAATAATTTTGCGTGGTAATTTTTAACGTACGTCTAGACAGATGGCACAATCGTTTCTTCGTTATACATATAGGAATATCTTAGTACAAATATATACAAATGACAATAGATTTCTATAAACATTAAAAACTCGTTTTGGGCAATTATTTAAAAAAAAAAAGCGAAACTCGACATTGTGCTACCAAAACTCATTAATTAACTTAGAATTTGAATTTTAACTTCGCGAAAGACACGAACGTACCAACGAAATTTCACTCGTTTTGCAAAACTTGTCGCTCTTTGGTTTTTTAAAATAGTTACTATAAATTTTTGACGGTACCAAAACAGAAAACATCAACGATACAATAGGTTCGTATTTAAAATATCATTTACACTTTTAACTAGGCCTTTCCGTTCACAATTAATGCGTTTTAACAGCACAATCTTTCATGCCTCGTTATCTGTTTCTCTGTCGAACAGGAATTACTTCCAAACTGGGGGTGTCTTCTATTATAACAATTACATAGAATTTCGATCGAAGCTGAACGTGGCGATTAGTTTTTGAAACACAGAGGTTTTCGTATCGACGGAAATTATTTTCAGGCTCGAAGTAAGACAAAATTATTCGATTGTTTCTCGAATATCCACGCGACGACACGAAACAATAAAAACGGACCGTAAAAAAACAAAATTTCCCTTCGCACATGGTGAAACTCTCCTTATACACTTCCATTTCTTTCGTAGGAATCTACCTAGTAAATGTTTTTTCCCCTTTCATCACGTTAATGCTGTTTTTACACTTCTTAATGCCTGTACTGTTGCTCGAGTTCCCTCCTGAGCCTCTTCGCGGCAGTCTCGCTGTTCCCATCAGTCTCTGCGTCGCTGCATCCGTCCTCTCCTTCGGCAACAACGCCCTCTACTTCCTCCTGCCTCCTTTTCGCCGTTGCCATTTCCGCCGCGTGCTTTTTCCGCCATTTTGTTCTTCTGTTTTGGAACCACACCTGGAAACAAAGATCCCAAACAACTTTAAAGACCATCGCTCCTTTTGGTCTTTGTAATTATTAAATTTACTTAAAATCTATCTGTTCCTCCACATATTTAGCTACACGGATTGGAAACCTAGCCTCAGCGTCACATTTAACACAGTACCAGACCTAATCTCAATGCCATTGTCGATTCGTTTAAGTAGAGTAGATGCTATATTTACTGACTGGACACATTTTCTACCTAACTAGGTCTCCTGTTACTCAGAGTTCGAGTATATTTACTGTTAATAAATGCTTGTGTGCATGTTAGATCCGACGAAATTTAGAAGCGATTTATACATGAATAGAGAAGACTCGCAGCTGCCTACCTCTTGGAGATGAGAGAGCGGCGCCACTGGACAAAGGATGCCTGGACAGAGGATTCGGACTCGATGGTGTCAATGAAACGTCTCCTTCATCACCTTGCTACAAGATTCTAATGGAAGTGTGCGGGGTTAAATTCAGAATAGTCAGACACAGGACATTAAAATTGTTAGAGGATCAATCAGGAGGATTGTCTATGAGATGTCTCCTTCTGCACTTTGTTAAAGGGGGTACGAGGCTGGAGTGGGACTTCCTGGCTTTAGTCAGGTCGAAAACCTCGATTAAGCTGATATTCTCCTATACCTGGGATGTTACTTTGATGGGTTGCCTGGTGCGGAGAATTTCGGCGAAGTTGGCGGGCTCACTCTGGTCAAATCCACTCACCTCACCTCCACGTTGGGGCCCCTGGGACTCTGTACAGCAGGGTACAGAGTGCGAAAGAGTGAGTGGTAGTAATGGGAGGAAGGTGTAAGCCTTGGTTCCCTTAATGTCGTTACGCGAAGTTGCGCTCACTGCACCTTATTGTAAGATTCTAGTGGAAGTGTTGTGTATAGAGCCAGACATAGGAAGTGAAAACTGTTTGAGTCTTCAGTGAAACAGTGTCTGGGCAAAGAACTTGGACTTGATGCTCAACGAAACACGTCTTTCAGTACTTTGCTGTAAGATTCTAGTGAAAGTGTCGTGGGGTTAAGTGAAAAATAGCCAAGAAAGAAGAAATTAAAGTTGTAGGGGGCTGATCAGGTAAGTTGACTGCAATGTAAGATTTCAGTGAAGCGTGATGGTTTTCGTATCTCTGGCGAGTGTCTAGCACGACGTCTCAAATCCTCTTTAGGTATAATCTAGGTAGCATGCCACACTCGACAGTCTAACACAGTAGAGTACGATGCTCTCTGTGTCTGCCGCGAGTGTCTGACCCGACGTTCTAAACCCCTTTTAGTTACTACCTAGGCAGTGCCAGTAAAATAGGGTCCGCAATATCTGTAATCTAGGCAACACGTCAAACTCGGCAGAATGGCGTGCGTACCACTGTGCATCTAACAGAGTATGATGCTCCTTGTATCTCCGAGTGTTCAGCCTGACGTTTTAAAGCCCTTGTTGCTAAAACGCAGGTAATATGTCGTCACTTAACAGGGTGCTTCCGAGAGTGGAACGTAACACAGTGGACTATGATGCTCTCTGTGTCTGTAACAAGTGTATGACTTAAGCCGTCATCTCGTCTTTCGGCGTCAACATCCTCCCGGGTACGCATGGTCCCGTAATTGGAGCATGCTTATTATTCAGCCTAATCAAAATGAAGGTACAGAGGCGGCGAGAGCAAGGGCCCCGGGGTTAACGAACACACCTTGACGGAAAAGGAAGGCGACTGTTAAGGTGGTCCTGTACATCTATAAAGCTCGAAATACGCAGCAGGAGTCTGTGTCCCCACAACAATGTATTTAATTAACGTAACGGGCGTCAGGGGAGCGCGGGACTCGAGCGTAGCGATTGCACCCACAAACCACCCTCTATCCATGCCGGCGCCGCGTGACCCCACTAAACTCCACCCCGTGCCACCCCTCTTTTCTCGCCAATCCGCAGGCTTGTTCAATGGCCGCCAAGTCGAGAGCTTAAATTAAAGATATAAGCGTCCCGGTGCGAGGCGGTAAACGAATTAAAAAGTAAACGGCCCACCGTAAAAGTTAATAGCTGTTCGGATGAAAATTAAAACACTCGAAGGAATTAAGATAACGGAGAGAAAGGAAGCCAGACAATCTGGAGAGATTGACTGTAAGCCCGGCCGACGTAAAACGTCGATTCCTCTTTAAACCCACCCCCACCTCCCCTTCAGCCCCCCCTCCCCTTCGTTCGCTTCTATTTTCGTTAATCCTTCCTCTCGACCTTCCATTCTGGCTGGTTTCTTTCGCCGGGACGCGATAGAGTGACGCTCTGAATCTCATTTGTGTTCCTGATAGAAACTGTGCCCGAGCTCTCTGCCGGGTTCTTCATTTGGACCTTGCAGCCAATCGAACGGTTTTGTAATTCAAATCGTGAATGTATCGGGCCTTTCGAAAAGTTCTATTGATATTCTTTAATCATTTGGAACTGTTCGAAGATATTATCGCGAGGGGTTTGCTTACCCTGCTTTCAGTGCTCTATTTCTTGAGTGTGAAGTTTGCATTTTTGAAAAAGTTATCGGTGCTTTGGCAGAACGGTGGATATTGAAGACAAGATGAGAGACAGTTAATGCAGTTGAGATCTAACCTCAAATATGGAGCAGGACAGAGTCAGAGTGATACGTAATGATGAATAGCAGAAAGGAACAATTGAATTTTGTGCTTGCAAGAGGTCAATAACCAGTGTGCAAACCTTGACCTTTGTTCACGGGGAAGGTCCAGCGAGAAGCTCGCCAGATGGCAGGAGCGGCAGCTTTTCCAGATCGAAAAATTGAATAAAAAAATCAAATGGTTTCTGTTAAATGGAAAAAATTGCCCTCATCGGTTGGGAAAAGGTGTACCCCCGACCATGAATCGGACGAAGTTGGTTCTACTGCTTAAATAAATCAGCGAAACCATAGTTAAAACTGACAGAGATCGTGTTCGGTGAGAAATGGTCGCTCAGTAATTGAAAAAAAGATAAAAATATCCGTGAAAGAGATCTCCGTTCGAAGGGATGCTCTTATCGGAACGTCACGGAAAGAAATATTTCGGGCGATTTCGACTTAATAATGCGTCCGTGTGATTTCGCCGCACGATATGTTGATCGTGGGTCATCGATTGAACGTTTTATCGTCTTTAATAAAAAGGAAGGGACTACAATAAAAACAAGGAAAGGCGGGAACCGAAACGGATAAGGATAAATTTTTATTACCAGCCCGCGAAGACAGTGGCACTTGACTATCTTGGATTGCAAAATTATGCTTCGCTTTGGGCTTGGAAATTCGTCTTTCATTTACGGTAAATCATCGTATGATTCTAAGGGATGTAAAAGACAAACTGAAGAGTCAATGAAAGAAGAAAGAAATTATTTACGTTTTTATTGTTCAAAGTTTGTGGTATTATGAGTGCGAAGTTTAAACAAATTCTGTGTATATTGCTGATCGGAGCAATCAAGCTTCGGTCGCTGAAATAACATTTTCAGACGTTTGTCGAGCGGTGAAATTTATGTTTCTGCGTTTGTTGGTTCGCGATGCGTAATGTTAATAATATGACGGACGCAATGCACAATTGATAATAATATATTCGGTCGTGGCGTGGATTTATCTCTAACTGGAGCAGAATGATCCCATCGCCATTGTAAGAATTGATTTTCGGATAACATTATGGCGGTACACTGTTTAACCAGGAATTACCTCTAATTTAATAGACCGTAATGGGGCCAAAACGTGACGCAAGTAACCGATAATAACCCATTAAAATCTCTGCGCTTTACATGCCCTCAAATTGAACGTTAACATTAGAATAGCCGGTTAAACGATTCGATATTAATCGGTGTCGCGCTGCCTAACCAAAGAAATCCATTTCGTTTCAATGAATATTCATTTTGTACTCTCGAATCTCGAAAGCAATTATAACAATTTTAATTAACAAAATGTACTTCGTCGCTACATGAACAGCTAACAACAAATTTATGATAATAGCTAATGGATGACTAGCAAATCCCGTCGAAAAGGTATCGTTTGGCGCGTAATACGCACAGATTTCGATCAGCATTTTCGGGATTTTTCCCGTCGAGAAATATAGTGGTGAAATGTAAATGCAGAGGAAGATCTTCTGGCGTGTCATTCATCTTGTTTTTGAACGCATTAGTCACGCACGCGTTGTAAACGTAGTCACGAGGGGGGCATGTCCCCAGCGTTACCTCGCAACTGTTCGATTTATTAAATCAGGATTATCTAAGCCCATTACTTTGTCCTGTAAAGCTAGATACAAAACCGCATTTATAACTGCGCAAAGCCCTTACCGCGGGGTGGAGTGTTGATCTCTTTCTCTGTCGCCCCATCTGACACTCGTATGCCGTCTCCCTTCTCTCCTCTGTTTCTCTTTGTCTCTCAGACTCCATCTTGCGCTCTCTTGCTCTCTTCGCGGACGCACGCGATGCCCTCGCTTCAACCCTCCTCCTCTCTCCAGTAACAGATAATACCGCTAGTATCTGATCTCGTTGATATTGGCGGATAATTTACTATGCGAAAGATTACAGGCGTGACTCAGATCTTTACGCGCGATCGGAACGAGAAAATTTGTACGGACACGCGTTACTTCGCGATTACACGCGACGAACGAGCAGGATTTTTAGGACTGGATGGGGTGATCCTGGTAATCGGGACTATGCAAGTCATTGGTAGCTTGAAGAGGGCTATTACAGAGATTGGACAGACTATCTGGGCAGTGGGAGCTTTGGTGAGGCTATCTTGGGTGTTGGTAGTGTGAGAAAAGTTGTTTTGGAGACTTCAAGAGACTGATCTAGGCCTTAATAGGCATTAGAAACTTGGGAGGACCTGTTCTGAGGCATTGGTAGCTTAGAGTGATCTTTTATAAAGATTAATAATTTGGGAGTAGAGTGTTTTAGGTATCAAAAGGTTGGAAGAAACTGTTCTAGCGATTGGGAAGATTGTCGTAGCTCTCATTCAGTAACCCGGTTGATTGACTTTAGTGCACTTCTATCATTGATATTCG